CTCAAATATTTCCATTTTAACATTGCTGTTTAGATTCTTAGCACTGCCACATAAACATTTGTGAGAGCTCATTGCAAAGGTAGAATTTTGACCAGAGCTCAAATCCTTTGCAGGTTTTTATTGTTGATGTGTTAAATGAAATAGATATAATTAGACAGTATAGGTAATTTTCTATAAGGGGAAATTTATCATGCCAATTGCCAAGGACAGGAGAGATACATAAGGGCAATAAAAGATACCCTGGTTTTGCACTCATGAGAATATACACTCGAGAATGACAAAGACATTGCTCATTCGGAAGACTCAAAGAAACCATTCCTACAAAAAATGGTACTAGCTTCCTGTAGTTTATTTTTACCACCCAAATGACATATTTAAAATATTCTACTTCTGAAGGAATGTTGTAAATGTAGTGGTCAAATTCCTGAATTACAGGGTAGGAAGTACCTTAGATCTTTGTTCACAGCGCTTTCTCCATCTATTTCCAATGGGGGTTTCTCTCCAAATCTGTTTTCTAATTTTTTCCCCACTCCTCTGAATGAACTCCAGAACTGTTTTGTTGTTGACATAGAAAATACTCGTCTGTTTTTGCTTATCCATTTCACTTTAGGAAAATGAAAAAAAATTCTTTGCCTCCTTTTTCCCTTGTACTTTTAAGGGCATTTTCTGAGGTCAGCAGCCAATGTAGTGGAAGTCAGTGAAATCAGCGCCTCACCGAAACATTGCAGATTTGACTGGTTTCCATAATAAACACTTCCAGGCTACCAAATAAAAATGCTAGGCTAGTAAGTAAAAATGAGAGGCTAGGCAAAGAATTTCAAGCAAATCATAGTCACGAGAGGCTGAGCAGCCTAGGACGGGAAATATCGCGTTCTTAGGGCTCTGTTCTAATGTGGATTGGCACCATCAGCAACACCTTCCACTTGGGGTCTGGGGAGTATATATGTCCCAATCTGGAGCTGCAGGTACAGGGGACAATGCCTCCGCCACTCTTCTCTGTGAGGCCTCTTGATGGGGAGGACACACTGTCCCCGAACTCTTTGGTCTCCAACAACGGGGACTATTTAGCCTGGAGTCCTCCTATTTCCTCCTCCCCACCTCCCTCACCCCTGAGATTCCGGTTTCCCACAATTTAGTTTAGTTTGCTGTTCGCTCCTTTCCTGGGGGCTTGCAGTTCCTGGATCTGGGTCAGCTTTTCCAACCATTTGTCTCCCTGCAGCTAGTCACTTCTTACTCATTACGCTTTCCAATTGTGGCGCGAAGGATCTCCTTTGCAAAACTGTGTCTTGGGGCAGGGGTGTGTAAGAGAGGCACAATATAACCTGCTCTATAAAGTGCATTTGCAGCCTGCGCTATTTTTTTTTAAGTAAAGTTAAAAATAAAGCTAAGAGATTTGGTTTAACTTTGCTTTCCAACCACACGACTCACCTCAGTGTTCTTAAAATCGTAACAGTAGCGTGGGACCTGAACTGAGCCAGGACACAAGCTGGACCATTGCGGGTTCCTCAGACCCGAGGAGCCGCTGTCTAGGAGGACTAGGATCCTGACTTTGCTCACCTGGAAGGAGGCTGATGGGTACTGTGTTGTGTGTAAGTCGAATTCACGCTTCGCCCGAGGGCCCTCCCGGGACTCGCTATTGTGTGTTTCCTGCACTCTGCACCTTCCTGGTAGCTGAACCGAAAACCGCTGTGCCGGCTGTTGCTCTTTATGTACTACGGAACTTGAGAGAGACTTTCATATGCTTTTTTTATGTTTCTCCTGAAGACCTTAAAATGCATGGGTACCCGGAACACCCTGGTCTATTGTGACCGGCACGTTTCGTTTGCACACGAATAATTACCCGAAAGAGTTCCACCAAAAATCAAAGACGCAGGAAAGATGAAGTGGGGTTGACTGTCACAGAAACTCTCCCAGTCTTTACATTCAGGTCCTGGGATCTGGCGGAAAATCACAAGGGATTATTCACCCAAAATCCCTCCTGTTTCCTCTTATTCCTGTCCTTAGGAGGACAGGTACCCATTTCCTGCTTCATCTTTCACGCTTTTGGCACGGACCTTGCCTTGCCTTTCTCTGCCTTGGGAAAACTGGATTAGTTCCCGAAGCCACTTGGGGGCTCTCCAATCCGTCCTCCACCTCTCTGGCCGTCCAGCCCCAGCTGAGAGCTTCACCTCCCGGGTTCCGTAGCGCGTTCATATCTAGGAAGGTCCTGCGCCTCTGGGAGCAGCTTTTCACCTTGTTCCATGCTGCGCCCAGGGTGCTCAAAACAACGGAACCAAATCCAGCCAAACAGACATGAGATAGGCGAGCCTTTTACCTCTTGGACGCTCAGCACTGGCCACTTCGCCCATTCCGGGTCACGGGGAGAACCAAGCTGCATCGCGGAGAGGTGGAAGAGATGTTTCTTTTCTTTCTGCAGCTCCACATTTGGGACCACCTCTCCTCTAACCTAGCCAACCTCGGGTACTCGTGGAACCCGTCCGTGAGCCGACAGGGGGCGACAAACCGTAAGCTTTTCCCGAGGCTGGCTGTGATCAAGCTGCAGGGAGTGCTTCATGGTTCTGGCACCAGCTGGCTGCTGGACCTGTGGGGAGTGGGAGGAAGGTGGGATGTGAAGTAAGGGCAGACAGGCTCTGACACCCCAGAGAGCCCCCAGGCATAATTTTCTGTCTACCCCTGCCCTGCCGGCCTTGAGGAGGGCAAATAGGGAAATGGTGCTGTTCTGGACTGCACCTCCTTGCCAGCACCCAGCGCTCTACTGGCAGATGTGGAGTAATGTTTCCTGAGAACAGTTAGGGCAAACCAGCTCTCACAAAAGTACCAATGGCTTTACAATCTCTTCTCTGAGCGTTGTCTACTCCTGGCCTACAAGGGAAAGAAATAGCTTTAGTTATTTCACCTTATCTCAGGGATGCACTAGGTTATGCATACTGTGGTTCCCAGATCCAGGAATCAACCTTTCTGATCTTCAGGGCCTGACTTGAAATTCAGGCAACGAAAGTCTAGATCAGGAGGAAACAGGGTCCAAATAACCTGGAAAGAACTGAGCAGGTCACCTCGAATTGTGTGCAGTCTCAGAGAGCCCCACAGCCAGGGCGTACTCAATCCTCTGCTCTGAACTTTTGCGGAACCCCTGGCTCTGGTTTGCCCATCATATTTCAAACTATCCTGTCACCCTGTCCCTACCCCTGCGTTGACTTAGACTGGCCTAGTCTTCTAGAAAGTACTCGACCTCTCACCAGTGCACAGACAGTTCTTTTCTGGATCCCTGGTGGCCTCCCTGAGGTTGCACTGTTTTTGTGATGCAATAGGTGAGAGTCCTCACCTTTTTTCAACTTGGGTTTTCTTTCCAAGGATAATTCTTGCCTGTGGCCCCCACTGAATCCCAGCTGAACCCCACACCCTCCCACCAGAGAGCACAGGATTTATCTCTCAGGCCCTCCTAATTGACACATTTGGACAGGTTAATTCAGAGCCAGCTGCGCTTTCTGGTCCCGCAGCGGAGGGAAAGGGGTCTGGACTGGATAGCTGCTGTTCCCTGGCTGCGCTGATCGCTGATCGGGTGCCACTGCACCTCCTGCAGCATCACCCTGCAGCTATCTTTTAGCCCCAAAGCCATAGACTCTGGGGCAACAGAGCCACCTGGTAAGGAGAGCTAGGAGCACAGGGCTATCCTGAGAACCAAGGCTCTTCCCAGGCTTCCTCCTACGCCACCCTTCCTATTCCAGTACGTTCAACCTTAAGCCCTTGGCGCTTACTGGCTTCAAGCTGGGACCTCTGTTGTCTCCGTCTTCTCTTTGCCAGTTCAGGGCAAAACCAGGAGCTTTCTCCCTCCACCTGCTTTCTCCTGGACTCCACTGCATAGCTCACTCTTTGACAACCACAGTTAGCCACACAGGCTGGGAAAGTCCAGAATTGAGCGTTGATGCAAGATAGAAATAGAGGAGGGAGTTGATGGTTCATGCAAAAGCTAGAGAGTTCAGGGCTGCTCACTCCCCTCTCCCTTAAACTAAGGGGAAAGAACCATTGAGAGGTTTAACAAAGACCCTGTAGAAGCCGAAGATGCTGTGTAAAAGGTGAAGCTAGGCAATTCAGATGTGGAAGAATTCTGGGTTCTTGGACTGGATGAAAGGGCCTGTCTTTCAGGCCTAGAGCTAGGGCTACAGCGTGCAACCTTCCTAGAGCAGGTTGAGGTCACCAGGATGCCTCTGGGGGCTGGGAGTGGGGCGGGCAACAGATCAGAATCCTTTTCCAACCTTCCTTCGGTCCTGTGTCACTTCAGGGTGGAATGAGTTTGGGTGGATGGGACTGGTCGCAGGGAGACAGAATCTAGAATCAGCACCTTTTACATCACTGAAATAACACCACTACCCCAAGGGTGGGGGTGGCTATTAAACATTGTAAAGATTTCCTGAAAGCAGGATTGTAGTGTCGGCCAGATATAGGACATGACAAATGCCTTGAGCCAGTCACAATGAACGCTCATTGGGACGCTCGCACTCTCAGAAATGGGGCACTGATACTACACATTGAGCATCTTGTCTTGATCAACTTTAATCCTGTGATTTCTTAGCAGTAATGGCCGTGGAATTAGTAGTAAAACTAAAACCCAAACTAGTACTATTACTAATAAATATTCATCAGTTTGAAATGACTACCCCATCTTTATCAGAACCGGGGCGGGGGGGGGGGGGAGAGGTAAAATTCTTCAAGGATAGCAGAGCAAGTAGACGGTCCCAGAACCAGCTAAGGCTAGGACTTTGTGTTTGTGTGTAGAGAGGAAGATGGGGTTGAGGATGGGTTACGGAGGATGGCAGATAGGGGAGGACAGGGAGAGGGTAGAGTTTCACCGAGGGGAGGGGGGTGCCGGGGTGCAGTGACGGGAACCAATGAGCTGCCAATTCTTGAGTCTCCTGCGCGACTGCCGAGTTTGACGTGGAGGACACGTAAAATTGATCCTCGCATGCTGCGGCCTCCGGGTCAGACGAATTTTTCTTAATCGGATGAAGTTCACGCTGAGTCTTGGGTCGCAGGCGTGGGGAGAGTCTTGGGAGAGGGCGGTGGTGGCCCCAGCTGCGGAAGCAGCGGGCCCGGCGGCGGGAGGCAGCGAGCTTGGCAGAGGTGCACAGTACGTTTCCAGCCTGCGGCCAGATAGCCACGGCACTCGGCTCGCGCTCGCCTTCCCTTTATGCCTCACCTTTGGCGGTGGGCGCCGGAGCTCCCCGGGACTGCGCTGGGCCCAGGATCAGCCGCTGGGGTTTCACGCAGCTGGCTAGCCCGCGTACCATGGGTAAGGGGATGAAGGCAGGCGGCGGGGGGGGGGGGGACGGGGGGAGGACGAGATGTGCTGTGTCCCGGTGTTTCCTTTTTCCTCTCGCCTTCCCCAGCCCCCCCCGCCCCCAGACCCCATCCTGGTTATGGACGAACCAAGTTTTCCTCAAGTGCCCAGTTTTTTGGGTGAGGTGGGGGCAGTCCGCTGCGTTGGGGTTGGGGCGTCCCACGTGAGATGTGTCAAATGGACGTGGAGGGTTGTAGGGTTCCGCACCCGCTCCAGGGTCCCTATGACTGCGCTCACTCCCGAAGGCATACCCAGTGTTTGCCCGCAGATTCTGTGTATCCTCAGGACACTTTCTGAGGCACGCCTGGGTGCGGCCCCTAGCCCCGTACAACCACCCATGGATAACCCTCTGGTATTTTCTTGGTTTCTTGCTCACTGTCCTCGGGCATGTCCGCAGAGCAGACGTACGGTGAGGTGAACCAGTTGGGCGGCGTATTTGTCAACGGCCGCCCCCTGCCCAACGCCATCCGCTTGCGTATCGTGGAGCTGGCGCAGCTGGGTATCCGACCTTGTGACATCAGCCGGCAGCTTCGGGTATCCCACGGCTGCGTGAGCAAGATCCTGGCGCGCTACAACGAGACGGGTTCCATCCTGCCAGGGGCCATCGGAGGCAGCAAACCCCGCGTCACCACCCCTAACGTGGTCAAGCACATTCGGGACTACAAGCTGGGCGACCCTGGCATCTTTGCCTGGGAGATTCGCGACCGGCTGCTGGCCGACGGCGTCTGTGATAAATACAACGTGCCCTCTGTAAGCTCTATCAGCCGCATCCTGCGCAATAAGATTGGTAGCTTGGCGCAGCCTGGGCCCTACGAGGCGAGCAAGCAGCCGCAGCCACAGCCGGCGCTGCCCTACAACCACATCTATCAGTACCCTTACCCCAGCCCGGTGTCATCCACCGGCGCCAAAATGGGCAGTCACCACGGGGTCGCGGGAACAGCAGGTCATGTCAGCATTCCTCGTTCATGGCCTTCGGCTCATTCGGTCAGCAACATCCTGGGCATCCGAACGTTTATGGAACAAACAGGTCAGTCGTGGAGGCCTTCTGTAACCTTCTTGTAAGGGGCAGAATTGGAGGTTAGGGGAGTGGTCATGAGGGAGAGGTGTCACCCTCTTTGCACCAGTTTGGCTCAGGGGAAGGCTAGGGCTGGACAGGGGGGTTGAGGGTCACAGGCCTTATGTGGGAGCCCTCTGGTATTTTCAACTTTTTATGACAAATATGGAAAATATTTCCCTAATGGAAGAGCAATCTCCGACCACAGATTCAAAGGCCTGAAATTGCATCTTTTCATAATTGGGGGAAAAAAAGGCAAACTCTTATCCCAGATCTAAGACAAAACAAATGTCAATGAGTTCTTTCACTCTTAAGGGTCTTTTGGCATTCCTCACAGTTTTCCAAAAGGTCCCATCTCCCCCATGCCCAAAGGTTCTTTTGAGTAAAAGGCAAAGGGGCACCTGGCCTTTCTTGCGTAGTGACCTAGATCTCAAGTAGGCCTAGCTTCATTGTAGGTTCTGGAACTGGGATCTCCATCATGGCACCCCATGGCTGCAGCCATCTTTGGGGTGGAAGCTCAAAGGATCTACCCTTCACCTGTCATTAGAAATCAGCAAATTTATGGTTATATCTCTCAGGGAATGGAGGGAGTGGAGTAGAGAAAGAAGATGTGGCAGCATTGGTGCAGAGCTTGGGAAAAGTGCCCTGTTTCTTCGAACGGTTCCCTGCCCCTAGCAGCTGGGTAAGGGATGGCATGCTTTTATGTGAGCAGACTGAGGAGGAGGGTAAGAAGCAAAATTCTCTGTAGCCCAAGAGAGAAGGGGTAGGAGCTGCAGAATGAAATTGAAAGCTTAGTCCTTGCGGCAGTGGGGCGTGCTGTTGAGGCCCCAAACAAGGTTTGTTTCTTACAGTGGCTCAAACCTAGATTGGGCCACCGGCTGGGGCTAAAGCTTCCCCTGGAACCATCTGTGGCCAGCTAGCTGGGACCTGGCCTTACCAGGTCTGTGCTCAGTTCTGAAACTTTTTTTGTGTTTCTCTCTTGCACACACATCTGTGGAAGAAGCAGACATGCACAGGGGATGCATGCTCGTCACTGGGTTGCTGCCTCCTTTGGGAGATCCTAGATGTCTCTGGAGGCAGTTTTGAGTAAAACTGTCTCCCAGCCTTCCAGACATTTGCTAAGACTTTGAGAATTCCAAACAATTCTCAGGAGCCTGCTTTGGATTTGAACTTGAATCTTACTGGGACCTGCTTGTAGACAGGAGAAAGGCACCATGACTGAAAAAGCGCCTGTCTCAGAGGCCACCTCTCTGCCAGACATCTCCTCTTTTTCGGAAAGATGTTCCCAGGCTTGGTGGAGCAAGGAGGAACTTCTGCCCCACTGGGCCTGAAAGTGAAATCTCGTGCTCCTGTTGCCTGTCCGCTCTTGATAGATCACTCTAGGAGCATTTGGTGCCTCAGGTGTTTGCAGGACTCTCAGCTGCACTCTGGGAAATGAGCTAAGTGCTTGTACGCACTTGTGTAAACGACTGGCCAGAGGGCCCTAACTTATGCTCAGCGCAGATTTGGATGTATCTCTAATCCGTCCTGTTTCCCTGCAGGAGCCTTCGCTGGGAACGAAGGTGCCACCTACTCCCAGAAGATGGAAGATTGGACTAGCGTGAACCGTACGGCCTTCCCCGCCACCCAAGCAGTAAATGCGCTCGAGAAACCGGCATTAGAGGCGGACATTAAGTACACCCAGGTAATCAAGGGTCAAGGGAAGGAGATGTCTTTAATCAGATGAGCAGAAGATTGTGGGTGGGGAGGAGGATTGGGGGAAAGAGAGAGAAAGAGGAAATTCCTGGCCTTGGGATTTCTGAGAGCTGGGCCACCCTGCACCCGCAGGGGCATTTTCTCTTTTTTTCTCCACAATACTAGTTTGGTGGGGAGGTTGGCTTTAGAGGGGATTGAGTTGCCTTTTGCCAAGATACTTCCGCTATAAAAACTTGATGATTTTAACACAGATGATTGAGGACTCTTTCTCTACATCCTGGTTGATGAATACCATGATCCCCATCACTTATTATTATTGTTTATAAAAATGTGAGTGAACATCATTTTGCCAGAATCCTTACTAGGAAAATTAGAGGCCAAGCCTTGCGTGGAGATAATTGAGAAGGCAGAAATGGGAAAGAAGGATCTCTCGTCTCAGTAACTCCATATGCTGGAGAAGACGGCCGGATTGTCTAGTGATGGTCTGTCCCTCTGCATCCTCACAGTCTGCGTCTGGCCTCTCCGCAGTGGGAGGCTTCCTCCCCGCCTGCGCCTACCCTGCCTCCAACCAACATGGCGTGTACAGCGGGCCGGCGGGGGGCTACCTCGCCCCGCCATGGCCTCCCGCTCAGGGACCCCAGTTGGCACCCTCCGGAGCCGGCGTCGCAATGCACAGCGGGGAGCTCGCAGTGGCAGCGTTGACCTTCAAGCATCCCAACCGAGAAGGTGAGGGGGACGGGTGGGGATGGGTCGGGGAAAGCAGAGCGGGTTAGGAAGGGTTCAAAGGTGGGGGGTGTAACAGTGGGAAAGATAGCGAGAGATTTGGTACCGAGCATAAATCCTTCCTTCCTCCAAATTAAACGTGTTGCTTCTTGGAGCAGATTGATTTATAACAAGTGTATGCCCTGATGCGTGTCCCTAGAAAGGCAGGCAGAGGTTGAAAGAGGCCCTAGGACTGCCCCCACCCACACACACTTGTACAGAGAAAGAAGAAAGAGGGTCAGGTTTGGATATGGTTCTTGTGCCCTTGGGCAAGTAATTGCTTCTCCCTGCATCTCATTTCTCCATCCATAGAAGGGTCTAGAAGCATCATTCAGGCACACCTTTCTGTGGCCTGAGAAGCTTAGCCTTTTGTGGTGGACCTGCTTTGGCACCTGAACCGGAACCTGGATACTTGCAGGCACTGCCCTTTTGTTTCTTTCCAGGTTCCTCTTAAAAACAAAAACAACACACACACACAAAACTGGACCTTCATTCTTGGGAAAAGGAAAGAGCATTTCAACCATGCATCCCTAGGATTAGACTCTTTGAACTCTGTATGGTTGGGGGCACTTCTTTCCGTGGCTGGGAGTACTCTCTCCTCCGCCCCTTTCTCCATGATAAGTCAAATTAGTAGAATTCAGGTGTTTAATTGCTGGTCAACAGTGCCGGGGCATCTTATTACGCTGACCTTGAGGTTCTGTTTTTTTCCTATAAATTGGGAAAGGCTCATTTATCCTTGAGTCTTTATTTTCCTCATAGGTGAAAGGAGTGGCAGAATTTGCTAATTTCAAAAAACCTGCCTGCGATAGGTTCTGACCACCACAAGTATTCAACTTCAACTACCCTGAGAAAGGAAGGAGTCACCTAAGGGGGTCCCAGCAACAGCAGTGAGGGAAACAGAACATAAACCTTAGAGTCAGCCTGGGGCAGAGTGGTATTCCAGAAGGATCTTTACCAGTCAGACCCACCTCATATCTACCAAGGAAGAAGGGGGGGGGGCAGAAAAAAAGCTTTATTTCCAAGGAGACACAGTATCCAGACTTGAGTTGTGTGTGTGTGTGTGAGAGAGAATATTTTAAACTGCCCTTAATAAATCAAGTAAATCAATAAAAAACAAAAATATTTTTATTTTCACCTTTCTTAAAACACAAACATGGAATATAAATTACAAAAATTGAGAATTATAATTTTAAGCTTTAAACTAAATTTAAAAATAGAACACCAGTTGCTCACTTATAAGAAAATCCAAGTAAAGGAAATTTTAAAAAATTGAGTATTAGAACTGCTCTAAAGCTTTACATTTAAGGAACAATAAGAGGTCTCAGAGTGAATGCTTTGCTCAGGGTCTTTCTTGTCGTTGGCCTCAAATCTACCTGCTTTCTGGACAACTGACCTTATATTTGAATGAGAAATTGAAATGGAATTTACCTCATTCTGTAAATCATTTGACTAAGCAGGTTAATTTTAATTTGAATAGTATATCCACACATTTAAACAATTTCCCCCATTGCTGATCTCAAGCAGAAAGATTTAGAAAAGGACTCGGTGTTTTCAGAAAAATGTAGTCCTTTGCTAACTTTGTTCTGGGGCATTTCAAGCTCAACATTAGAAACAAATTATGACCCATAGGTAACAACCCAAAGGTAAAACACACAGTTCTGAATTCTAAACTAATTCAATTTAATTGGGCTGGGGAATTCATTGGTGATTGATTTTCTTTAGTAGATACTTTCAGAAATACAGAGCTATTGAATGGCATTTGCATTCATGACCTTTTTACCATTATATTCACTTCCTATTATGAAACACCTCACTAATTTTCAACATCTGTAGCAACAAATAGCTACATTAGTTATATGAAATTAATAGCTTAATTTCCTGATCCTCACAGTTCTTTAAAGACATAGGTAAAGGATTATCAAATAAATGAGGGCCATCATTAAACAAAGAGGGCCCTAAACTGCATACAGGTATTTGCCTTTGAACAAGGAACACAAAAATAATTAGAATTATATACCTATTTGGGTTAAGAATTTTTATTCTTACTGGCAGAAAAGCTGACTTCAAAGACTGTCCATCCACACCACCAACTGGTCTTTGGAAAATTAAAATGCAAAGTAATCTGAATCACTGCCTTCCCCCCCAATCATTGCTTTAAAATTATATTTAAACAATCCCATAAGACAATTACTATATTTAATTGTTGTTCAGTTAATAAAAATAGTAGGAATAGCCTTTATTGAATTATTTTTTCAGGAGGAAAAATTTCTTTACTGAAAGCAATTTAATATCATGAATGCTCAGTAAAAACAAATATTTTAGATCATCTAATCCATGTATCCTCCAAATCAAGTGCCAATGAACTTAGAGGTTACCTTAAGGGTAGTCTAACCAAATGCTAAATTAAGCATCACAATGTATGAATTTTACCTTAGTAAAGAGTAATGCCTGTGGGTTCCATATTAGCTGGCAAGAAAGTATAATTTACATTACCCATCCATGAAAGCAAACTTTAATTCTTGGGAACCTAAGGAATAGAAAGTTCTAGTTTATCTACACGTGGAAAGGTGCTGATTTGCTGGGAATTTCAACACCTATCCAATTGTCTTTTCATAGCCAAGGCAGGAACCATCTCATCCCCACCCCCACATGTGACAGACCTCACCAGATGTTCCCTCAAGACAACTAGTGTTTACAGCGTGTTTCCAGAAGACTTCAAAACCTCAAAATCCTTCCCATCAGGGGTTTGGAAAAACTAAAGATTTGGAAATCAAATCTATAAGTAATTGCATAGGTTCAAAGAAAATTTTGTTTATATTTGTTACAGATAACTTTCATCTCCCTTCTTGTTATCTCTGCTCAGGATTAGTTCTTGAAAAATCAATCCTAAAAGCAACCTTTGCCAGAGAGCACTAGGGTGAAGGCGTTTGCCTGAGAGCCCGGGCGCTGGCAACTCGGATTTCATTTGACCCAGCCCTTTAAGACCTCTTCCCAGATGCCCCCCCTCCTCCACCCTTCGTCTGCCCTCACCCCCTAGGTCCCAGTGGTCATGAAATTGCAGTCCCAACATTTAAAAAATGTGTGTCCCCCTAGAATTAAGTTAAACTTCCTGCAAAGTGTCCAATGCCTTAGGGCCCCAGCCTCTGACGCACTCTCAGTGTCCGAGGTCCTGCGGTGGCAAAGGATGGTAGCAGAGGCCCTATGGGGAAGCCTGGAGTTGGCAGAGCTAAAAAGGCAACAAGATTTGCCCTGCAGAGGGTGTGGAATCTATCTCTGGACTCCTGGTGTTTTATTTTTCATGATTTTTATTGCTTGTCTCTAAGGCAACTGGCCTTAGACTGAGAAACCTCCTCCTCAGAGGTTTTCTAAACAAGTCTTCACCTTGAAGTGTGTGTACAGAGTGGAGAAAGGAGGTCTGGAAACTTCTCTGGCTGAGTGGCCACAACTATTTAGGAAAGAGAGCTGAGAGGTGATGTGGGGGTGTGTGGGTATGAAATGAGGCGGGAGAGGCGAGGTGTGGGACAGCTAATGGGTCACTCTGCCCTGGAGAAGTCATTAGACCCCCTAGAAACCCCTAAGAAACCAGATGTGTGTGCTTGCCTATGTGTGTGTGTACATGCATCCCTCTAGCAGAGGTGTACCACCCAGCTCCTCACACTCACAGTAGGTTGCCCATGGGGCTGGAGCAGAGGCAGGGGTAGCTGCAGGCAAAAATATTCGAGTTCCCCCTCACACCAAAATGAGGTACTCAGAGCTCCCCCTTCAAAGAAGGACTTGGCAGAGGGAAAAATAAAGTTGAAAATAGGTGCCTTTAGGTGTAAAAAAACTTGTGGCTCCTCGTACAGGAGAAGCTGAGCTGCTAAGGATCCAGAAGGAAAAACAGAGGTTGCACAAGGATGGTGTCACTTTTTTGGCTTCCAGTAGCAAAACTTGGGCCCCTATCCAAAACCCTAAATAATAGAGCAATGTACAGAATGCCACCTGATTTGGCAAACCTACTGTCACTTAACCCCGTGTCCCCTAGACCCCAGGACGTACTGTGCCTGAGGTGGTGAGGGAATCTGGATTCTCGGGCTAAAGTCCACTGCTCACATAAAGAGCAGCCACTTCCTTTGCAGGGAAAGATCCTGGCTGCCCAGAGGCCCCCAAAGACACCTCTTTGGTGACTGGCACAGCACTTGATCTCCCCCTGTGTAAAGATAGCACGCCAAGCGTCTTTGAGGGACAGTGGACCTGATGCACTGGCAACTAGCTATTCAGGCTTGTGCGTGCCAGTTGAGGTCTGAGGTTGGTGGGTGGAGGTTGGGAGGAGGGGGGTGGGAATCTCAGTTACCTGCTCCCTCCCCCAGAGGTCTCTGATCTCAGAGCTTCTGAGGCCGAGGGTGCACTGGGCAGCAGCACAGCACCTTCCTGCACCCATGGCCTTCTTTATTAAGCACGTTGCAAAGAGAATTGTACCAAGCCAGTGGTCTGGCAGTACTTGCAAAATGGCCTTGCCAGAACAGCCACTTGCTATGGTTGCCCTTGCAAGTGACTCCTTTAGGGGAGGAGGAAGGGTGGGCACCTACTGACACTAGGGGCTGTTTGAGAGAGCAAGTCTCTGCTTCCTCCTTCCAAATCTCTGATATGTATAGTGCTCTCAGCAAGTTCGCCCTAGATCCTAGCACTGTCCTTTAGGTTTGTGGGTGTCCTGGCTCCCTGGGTCTCTGGCTCTGAACTGCGCCTTGCAGTGACCCAATACCCCTGTGCTTCCTCTCACAGTGCCTGACCGGAAGCCTCCCAGCCCTGGCAGCAAGGCCCCAGACAGCCTCAGTAGCTTACATGGACTTCCCGTCCCAGCCTCGAACTCCTAGGGGTAGCGCTGCCCAGAGCTGGGGTCAGGAGGAGGCAGCAGAGCGGCAGGCAGACCAGGAAGCGCAACTAGGCTCTGCAGCTTCGTGGAGCCACCAGATGGAAGGACAAGGACACGAGGAAGAGGTGCAGTGGGTCTGCCTGTGGGGGCACGCCCTGTCAACCCTAGGCCTTGCTCTGTCCCCTGCCCTGCACCCCCCCCCCTCCACACCACACTTCAGTTGTGGGTCAGGATTTTCAGGCTTTTATGAACTTTGGTTTTCGACCATTGAATCCATGTTGTGACACTTGCTCAGTGTGGCCTCCTTTGACCAGCCTTTTCCCACTTCTTCCAGGATTGTCCTAAACTCTTGGTCCCTCCCTCCCTCTTTCCCCTACTTCCCTCTTTCCCCATTTACCCTCGAGTTCCTTCTTTCTTTTCTAACTCCTTCCTTCCTACTCTACCTTTCTTTCCTTCCTCATTTCCCCCTTCCTTCTCTTTATCCTTTAAAGTTCTTCCTCTTTAGTCCCTTCTGCTTTCCTCTCTCCTTCCCTTTCTGCACTGTCTACTGTGCTCTTCCCTGTGTTCCAGCCCACTCCACCACTTTCTCTTCTTCAGCCTTTGACAGACAGTTATTTTGTTTCTTCTCACTCCTACTTCTTCCCTCTCACCCAGGAAAGCCTCAAAGGGGTCTCCATGACAGTCCCTCCTCCAGCAGCTGTGACACTTTAACCTCCACCCACTGTATCCCCTAGCCCTAATGAAAGGATCTGGAACTTAAAAAGAGAACAGAGAGGCCATAGTTTTCTATATTTTTATAGTAATGAACTGGAACAAAACCCCATGAATTGTGTTTTCCCTCCACCTCCCCAGGATATTGTCCTATAGTCTGTATTTTCTCAGTGCCCAGTGACTGGGTTACTCTTTGCTTCCTCTAAGATGCTGTCACCCCAAAGAAGGTTAGGTAGAAGTAGGGGACATGAGGTCATTGATATTTTCTGTAGTTAGAAATCTGCTTGCCCTGGAGGTGCCTCTTCTCACCCCTGTATACCTAACAAGCTAAGAGAATCTGGCACATGGTAAATGCATAAACATGGTTTCTGATGTTGGGGGGGAAGCAGGTCAGCACATTTGTTAAAATTGCAGACTGATTTGGGGTTACAAAAGGGCAATCTGGTTTCTGGTCTGCAAAAGGTAATGGTCAGAAAACCCTGGAAAGTGCCTTCTAGAGCTGGACACAAAAGCAGTTAACTGCTTCCAAGTTTAAGCACACTGGTGGTGGGACTCTGGACATAAAACTGTAATTTTTGTAGTCATGAAAATGCCACTGGTAATAGTCTGACATCACCTGTTAAACATAGCTGTCTTTAAATAAAGGATGACATCTGAATGTTTTGTGGGAGTAAGTAAGTCTATTACCAGTCTGGACTGTTATATAGGCATGCCTCACCTACTCAACCCCTGAGTTTCCCACATGAACACTATTAAGACAAAATTATTTTATTGGTATACTCATTAGCACTTACAACCAGAGTGGGTAGGAGGTGAAAGAGCAAATTAAATGGGAAGAGTATTTTCAAAAATTTGTCCCAAGAAACTCCAGGTCAGCCCTGGGGAACTGAGGTAGAAAGACAATATGCAGAAATCATCCTAAATGAAGTTAATTCTAAGAGGAAAAAACTGGCCAAAAGGCAGTGAGCAAAAAAATGGAGGACTTGTTTCAGAAAATTCTGAAAGCTAAAGAAAATTATCCCAGGCTACTAAGTAATCTAGTTATTTCTAACTACAAAGGGATCTCTGGCTAGTTTTGTTTTTCTTTCTTGTGTTTGGTTTTCTAAAACTAATGGAAGAGATTTTTGAATTGAAGCTTTGGCTTGCAAGTGGAGCTGCCTATTTGGACATGTGGAGGAAACCAGTAAAGAAATTATTTTTGTTGTATCTTATAGTCATACCTGCTGAAAGTATTAATCTTAAAGGAATAGCTGCCTTTTTCATATAGAAACTTTTCCCAGGTTTTAAAGTCTCTTGGCTTAAAAAAAAAAAAGGATTCATTGTATAGATAGGAGTATTGAGGGCTAGACATTTGGTTTATTTTTTCTAGCCTCTACAGCAAACTATAAATTACAGGGTTTGAGCATGAAAACTGGGGTGATCCCATCTCATCAGACAGCCAGGATTAGGGCTTGAACTTTGGACCTGGGGTCCTTAGCCTACAGCATTAGAATTTTCTGTAGAAAAGCTGGTCACAATGATAATAAAATAGGTATGAAAACCTTCAAAGTGAGGAGCTTTTTTAATCTGTCCCCTGTGGTTTCCCATAACCTGTGGCTGGAGGTGAGTCTTTCCAAGTCCCTTGGCTCTGGCGTGAGCATTCACAAAGGAAGAGAGCATCCAGCCACAGTACCACATTTCACACGGGACATGTCGAGGTACCTCTTTTCTCTTGAGGCTGTGGGCCAGTCCCTGCTCTGCCAAACTGTGATGGAGGCCTATGATCTCTCTGAACCTTCATGTTTCTATCTTTGAAGTGAATGCCTCAGCTGCATAAAATTCCATTATGTAGATGTACCATAGTTTTTTGATCCATTCATTTACTGATGGGCACTTGGGTTGCTTCCAGCATTTGGCTATTGTAAATTGTGCTGCTATAAACATTGGGGTGCATAAGTTCTTCTGGATTGGTGTTTCAGGGTTCTTAGGATATAATCTTAGCAGTGGAATTGCCGTATCAAAGAAAGAAGGAGCTCCTACCCTTTGTGACAGCATTGATGGAACTGGAGAGCATTATGCTAAGTGAAATAAGCCAGGCAATTAAAACAAATACTATGTTGTTGTTTGTTGGGAACCACCCTGACTGGTATCAGAGGCTGAAACCCCCGCCTAGCTAAAGCTAAGGGAACGCCCTTGGAACCGTGAGCCAGCAAGGAGACAAAATCTTATCTCCCTGGCAGGAATGCTGCTTCTGCTGCTTTATTCATAACTGAACCCCCAAAAGCTTGGTCGGTTAGCCAAAGACGGGTAAGATTCCCCACGGGGGGAACGACCTAAGCCAGGCACGATCACTTTGGGAGGCCCCCCCAAAAGAAGGACTTGGGGGGCTGCAGCAAAAGGGGGTGATGGACCCTCGCTCCTCGGCTTTGACAAAGTCTGAGTTCTCATCGTCTGGGAGAAAATCTCCTTATCTCTTGGTTGCCTTAGTTCCCTTGCTCCACCTAAGCCTGAAACAATGACAGGGTGGTGCAGCTCAGTACTGAGAAGTGCGGATTCCCCAGGGTGATCAGGCCTAAGAAAGAATATGTAAATTACTGTGAAACCTTCTTTGTTTAGAATGCTCTCAGTTGAATGAGAAGGGTCTTAGGAGGAAGTTAGTTTGTTCCTCAGCCTTACAGCTCTTTGACCCCCAACTCAATAGACCAGCAGAGTTCTTTGTTTTCTATAGTTCCTTACTTCCCCCTAATGAGTACTGTACTTTACCTGAATTATTATGCAAAATGAGCCCAATAAAAGCAGGTATGGACGGTAAATCAGCGCGCTCCCCACTAAGGGGGGTGGCCATTCCGTCCCTACTTCCCCACAGAAACTAGTCTGTCTCTGTGCATGTGTCGTTTTCTCTCACGTGTTTATCGTCGAGCCATCCACAGCGTTCTGTGGTCACTGCTGGCCGGTGACCCATGCGCAACAGTTGTTTTTTTAAAGATTTTATTTACTTTTAGAGAGGGGGAGGAAGGGAGAAAGAGAGGGAGAGAAACATCAGTGTGTGGTTGCCTCCCGTATGCTCCCCACTGGGGACCTGGCCAGCAACCTAGGCATGTGCCCTGACTGGGAATCAAACCAGTTTGCAGGCCAGCGCTCAATCCAGTGAGCCACACCAGCCAGGGCCAAATACCATATGATCGTACCATTAACAGGAACCTAATCAAAGCAATGAGCAAGCAAGCAAAGTATAGCCAAAGACATTAATATTGAGGACAGGCTAACAGTGATCAGAAGGGAGAGGGGAGGGGATAAAGAGGGAAAAGGGTGAAGGGTTTACAGGAACAATTGTAAAGGACATAGGGATAACAACAAGGGTGGGGGGTGAAAATTGGTGAGAGAGGTGGGGAGGGCTGGGGTGGTGGGGAGGGCTAGGGGAAAAGGCAGAAAACTGTACTTGAAAAACAATTAAAAAAATCCTACTCAAGGCAAAAAAAATAAAAAGAAATGAATGCTTCAGTGGGGTGACACCCATAGTGACCTGGTTTGGAGAAAGGCTGGTCCTGGAATTGCTTCACCTCCCTGGAAATCATTTTTCTGTTAACAAAAAGTAGGAGAATCATTTCTATGGTTGATGAGGGACCCAGAATTTAAATATTTTTCAAAAGATTTCACTGGAATATTATATTTTTGTTCTCCATGCATATGGATCTGTGGAGGTACTGTGGACTCATGATAAAATTATGTAGTACATGTCAAACACAATAATTTGAGGAAGAATTGTTCCCTGGAGGCAACTTGTCTTTGTCCTAGCACCTGCCTTTTAATTTTTTTGAATTTAAAAGTGTTTTAGTATAGAGAAGTGCTAAAAACATAAAGGACATGATTACTCAAATAACCATTTGATTTTTTGAAAGAATCAAAGAGTGTATATATATATATATATATATATACACTATATATATATATATATATTCAGAAAAATTTTAATAGTACAAAAATATTGAGATAAAAGTGAAAGTTTCTACCTCATCTCCATCCTTAAAGGTTAACTTTGTAAAAGTCTTTTATGAATCCTTCCAGGAAAAGATATGCATTTAGCAGAATATCTGTGTTTCTCTGTATGTATTATTTAAAAGAGCACAGTAAGGTGCTGTGATAGATACACACAGATATGGTCTGGGGAGCTGGTCTTTGCAAAGCAGGAGTTCAGGTCCGCTGTATTCACTTTATTGCATTGAATGGATACATATCAAACAGGGATTATTAAAAATAGTATTTGTAAAGAGGGTCAGTCCATACTTTAAATGTATAAAGACAGAATTTTGT